GCTGACTACATATGGTAATACTGGATAAATATTAACTTACAGTTTTGATGCCTGCTCTGTGGTTTGGAAGGAGAAAGTGTCCTTGTATTAGGAAATAAACAAGTAAGTATACAGATAAAGACTGAAGAATCTTCATCATTCCCTAATCTTGGTGAAGAGTATACAAGAAATTTGAGTACTATCATGTTGCAGAAATGTTTCAAATGGTTTAATATGTTTGTTAATTGGACATTGAACTAAATGATGTTCTACACATTTCATTCAAAATATAAAAAACCAAAATATTTGTCATTCAGAAGTGTTTCATAAACATGAACTGTCATTTCACATTATCATACTAAGATCAGATACGATGCATATTTTCTTTCATTAAAGTAGAAAGCTACAAAGACCAACACCACTTCATTGCTATCGATATCACTGTACGTAAGAGTTTCATTTTGCAATTATTATACAAAAAATAAAATACTGGAGTCCAAGACGAAGACTGTATTACTGACATATATTTATACCGCTACCTGGAACTACAAGGAAGGGGTGCCTGGAGAAAAAGAATGGTGAGTGGAAATGTATTGTTGGTGTCGGGGATTTCAGTCTATGTTGTAAGAAAATTAAAGTATGAGAAATCTCATAGTTTAATTCTAGAAGAGCTGAGAATCTGGTACAAGAACCAAGGCGCATGCAGATGAAAAAGATTTTCAAACACTGTCATAACACAATATGAATAAATTTGTAGAATCATGGAGACCTGAAATTTTTAAGACAGTATGCCAGAGTATAGAAAGAAGTCAGAAGGTATTTAGATTTTATTGGTTCTGCAATTTTCTGGCCCTGTGACCACAAATTAATCAATTACTCACTCAAGGTGACCTTCATCACTCATGTGGACTACTGCAATTGCTTCCTAATTGTTCTACTTCCATTCCTCCCCCTACCTTTAATCCATTCTCCACAAAGTAACCAATATCTTTTAAAACATGTGAGTCAGATCATATCACTTGTAGGAGTCAAACATTCCAATAGCTTCCTATTACTTTTAGAATAAAATCCAAACCCTTGGGCATGGCTTTAAAGGCTGGTATTACCAGGCCTTTGTTACCTGTTCTGACCCCATTTCCAACCACTTTCCACTCTGCTCACTATGTTGGGAACACAGTGGCCTCCTTTCTGTTCTTCAATCATTCTAGCTCTTTCCTTCCCCTGGGCCTTTGCTTGGCCTGGAATCGTTATTGAGCAGGTAGCTCCTTATCATCATTCAGGTCTAAATTCAAATGTCACTTCTTCAAAAGGACCTTACTTTACTACCCCTTCTCATCACTGTCAATCATATTATGTTACTCCATTGTCTTCACTGTACTGATTGTTCATCTGAAGTTCCCTTATTTAGGTAACTGTTACTTGATTATTTTCTGAGTTCCTCAGTAGAAAGGACACTCCATCACGGAAGTGATCTTCCGCCTTGTTCTGTGCTATAGCGCCAGCAGGTCGATTGGTGTCAGGCTCACAGTTGAGAGGCAATAAATAAATAAAATGTCGAATGACTACTTAAATTTTCTCAGGCCTCCAAGTTCCTCATCCACATAGTGGGGTATAATTATACCTGCTCTGACCATTAGAAATGGCCAAGTAGCAAGTAGAAATACAGCCCAACTTCTAACTTAATTCTTACTGTGCCTCGGTCATCATGAAAGTCGCGTTATATGAATATTCTCATTTACTGTTATGATTTCCATTTTACAAGTAAGGACACCAGGTCTTAGAGAGCGCAAGTAACTGATCTAAGGGCACAGGGCCATGGTGAGGACCCGGGTAAAATTCTAGAACTGCCTAACCTCAGAACCTGAGCTCTTAACTGCTATTTTATCGTTTCTAGAAAGATGCTTCCTTCTAATACAGTAAAATCCGCTACGCTGTCTGCCCCCCTCGAGTTCGTCCTGTGGGACAACTGAAGAAAGCTATTACATCCCCCTAAGGGCTTCTTTTCTTTCAGTCTCTCCTTAAACGGCCCTCCTGTCCTGGTCACTCTCTCCCGAACAAACTTCAGCTTGACAGCCTCCCTCTTGCTCCAGCTGTGTGGTGATTTCCACTGGCCAAGTTGTAAAAAGGCATCAGAGCAGGGGAAGCCGACTGCCCACGGGCTGAGAAAATGCAGGCATCGTGGGTGTCCATGAGGGCTGCGGTTAACGCAGCAAGGCTTCCTGAGAGAGGTGATCCCCGAACCAAGTCCAGGGCAGTAAGCACAGGAGCCAGCGGCCAGGGGACCCCGGGAGAAAAGACCGCGGGAGAGCGTCGCCGGGGCTGCCAGGTGGAGACAAAGGCTGGTGGAGTTTAAATAAAGATCACAGGCACAACCCCAAGTGATGGCAAGCTTGCACGCGGACGGGCTAAACGCATTTTCCTAAACGTTAAGAGACGCTCTGGCGGGAAGCGAAGTGGGAGGAACGGTCACAAAGCAAAACGCAAACTTACCCGAAATCTGGCAACCCGGCCTCCGTAGCCCTACTGCAAGCGCTGCCACCTGAGGAGCCTGGTAGCCAAGGCAGCGGCAGGCTCAACCCAGATCTCGCGAGACGGAGCAGGCCTCGCGAGATTTGACCACGTCCCTGAGAGGCTGGTGTGTGTTAGTTCAGGGGATTATGGGAGGGCTCTGGCATCCGGGATGGAGGGGCGTCGCTTGCTGTGGCTGGCGTTGGATCCACCCTGGGTCTCCAGCCAGGGCTGCAGAGAGCGTAGAGCCGTTTCTTAGGCCAGCGTGGAGTGGGACAGGAGGTGCCGAGAGAGGACTGAGGTGGCTTGGGACATGGAAGCACTGCAGCCTTCCAGCCCGGCATCCAGCACTGCAGCCGCCGCGGCGGCCCAAGAGCTCCGACCCTTTCACGCGCGCGCATGTGGAGGAATGGCGGCGGCGGAACAAAACGACCCTCACTTACGTGGCCGCTGTCGCCGTGGCCATGCTGGGGGCGTCCTACGCTGCCGTACCCCTTTATCGGCTCTATTGTCAGGTAGGGGCCGCGCTGCCCGCAGGGTGGCGCAGATGCGAGAGGTGGGGGTGCAGGACAAATCCCGGGACAAGCCCTCGCCGTGCGGGTCGTAGGTGGAAGAGGTGTCCGATATTATCTACCTAAGAGGAGAGAGGTTCAGAACAGCCACTTAACACCCAAAGCCACCAAAGAAATTGGTGGCAGAACTGCAAGTAGCACCCAGTTCCTCTTAGTGATTGTGCTTATCCTGTGCTGCAGACTCCCTCATCTATGAACTGCACCTCGTCCAAAAAAAAAAAAAAAAAAAAGGTCCGCAGCCTCTAATCGGATATCCAGCAGTCTGCCTTACTCTTCTGTGCACACACGCTTTTAAAATGTATATTATTCATACATTCAGTCTGCAAACCACATGTGGTTTATGTGCTAAGGGTAACTCTGGAAATTGGGCTTATCGTGTTTCTTGTGCTTAAACTGGGATTAGCAGTTCCTCTATACAAAGAGGGATGAATTAGGCCTTTGAGGCTCTCTCTCCCGCCCCTTTTAATATATAACTGTAATGTACTTAACCTGGAATCTCTTAAGTACATTGCAGTGGTTCTGGGAGTGTGGCGCCCAGGACCGGCAGCATCAGCATCACCCGGGAACCTGTTGAAAGTGCAAATTCTAGGGCCCGACTCCAGGACCGAGTCAGAAACATGCGGGGGTGGGACCAGCAATCTGTATTTTAGTAAGTCCTGCAATTGATTTTGAGGCCAAGTTTTGAGAACCACTGGCAAAGTCAAGTTTCACGTATTTTAGAGATTTAGCCTTTGTCCTTAGCTAATAATTTGCAGCTTTGGCTGGGCGTTAGGATCACCCGTGGAGCTTCACGTTAAATACACGTTCCAGGGATCCCCTACCCCAGAGATTCAGGTTAGGAAGTCTAGAGTAGGGACAGGAATTTCGGTTTAAAAATCACGCCACAAGCGAGAGCTACACATTGTGTTCAGTAGGTATTTAAGATAGTGGCTCCCAAAATTCATTGTACAGCTGCATTGGGAATCACCTGGAGAGCTTCTAAAAATCCACACACATTACCTATTTTTATCACAATGCCAGAGTGGGAACCAGGCATCAGTAATTGTCAATTATGTTTTAGGTGATTCCAACGTGCAGGAAAGTTTGGGAATTGCTATTTTAACACCATGACTGGTATTCTTAGCTGGAGTTCACTCTGTCCGTGAGGCACGTTTATTTATTTAAATTTGTAGAGACGAGGTCTCCCTGTGTTGCTCAGGCTGGTCTCTATTCCTGGGCTCAAGTGACCCTCCTGCCTTGGCCTCCCAAAGTGCTGGGATTACAGGCGTGAGCCAACATGCCCAGGCTGTGGAGATTAATTTACCTTTCTTTTAGATGATGAAGCAGCAGAAGGCAAAAAGACTTTTCTTTTCTGGCATAGTCTCCTAATGCCAGCATTTATGTGGGAATGTGCAATAATTGATTTCTGAGGATGAGTATAGAATGTGAATTACTTTTCATCAGAGACCAAACCCAGGCATGAATTCTAAAACTACCAGTTGGTTAAATCATAAGCAGAACTGAATCCAAATCAGCAAATCTAGATCATTCTCAGACTGCCAAGGGTCTGGAGGGGAGTGAAATCTGTCCCTCAGGAAACATTTAGCAATGTGTGAAGACATTTTTGGTTGTCACAGCATGGAGGTGGGGGTATAGGGTGCTATTGGCATCTAATAGGTAGAGGCTGGGAATGCTGCTAAATAACCAACAAAGCACTGCCTCACCCCCAAACAACAAAAAATTATTCAGCTCAAAATGTCCATAGTGCTAAGATTGAGAAACTCTGCCCCAAACTGAAATAATTGATAATATTGTGTGTGAAATGTGCCCACATGCAATCATAGGTCAGGAAGGCAAATGTAATTTGTAATCTATCAGGTTCTTAGAGCTAGTGGCACAACTAGAATAGCGATCAGGACATCTTTTCAGTGCAGTTTTCTAGTCTTTTTGTCTATTTTACTTTCTCTAGGCATTGAACCTAGAACTTTGAAGAATCCATGTTCAAAGACTATATCAGGGAATCTTTATTGAGGGAGGATACTTAAAAATATTTTTATTCAAGTGACAAATTTTTCAGGAAAAGGAGTTACATCTTAAACATTATAGCACTCAGGCAGAAGGATAAACAAGGATAAAGGCTTGCCCTCTGATGCATCTTTTAGGGATATAATGTAATTCAGTTATGTTGTATGGCAGTTGAATAAAGTTAGTTGACTTGTGTAACAAACAGAGGATGCTAAAACACTGTATCTTGCTGGGAGTCTTCCCCTAGCCTCAAATTTGTTTTTTTCTTCCTAGCATAGTAACAGGCTAATTATCTGGAAATCAGAATTCTGGCAACCTCAAGTATCCGAAGAAAGATGACCTTGGAAGTAAGGGCTTTTTTTTTTTTCTTCTTCTTTTGAGATGGAGTCTCGCTCTGTCTCCCAGGCTGGAGTGCAGTGGCGTGATCTCGGCTAACTGCACCCTCCGCCTCCGGGGTTCAAGTAATTTTCCTGCCTCAGCCTCCCGAGTAGACCTAGGACTACAGGCGTGTGCCACCACGCCCGGCAATTTTTTTTTTCTATTTTTAGTAGAGACGGGGTTTCACTATGTTAGCCAGGATGGTCTCCATCTCCTGACCTCATGATTCACCCGCCTTGGCCTCCCAAAGTGCTGGATAAGGGCTTTTTTTTGAAAGTGATGTCAAGGAAATAACTGTCATGAATAAAAGAAGTGTCAGACACAAATACTCTTGATGCCCTATGATTATTTCTGTGGCCATAGGGATTAGGTGCTCTGATTACTGATTTATATAAAAGCTCTACTATACAGAGAAGTACAGAGAAAGATTCCAAAACATTAACCAACATGGGAAAATACATATGATGCCTTAGAAAAGCAGAATGTTAATAAAAGTGAAGCTACAATCTAATTTGGATTATAAAAGCTGTGATATGGAAAAGGACCAGACAGGAATATGGAAAAATTGAATTAACATTTTCAGTGAAATTATGAGGTGATGGGTAAATTTTATTTCTATTAACGAAACACTAGCAATGAAGAGAAATGTTTTTTTTACAAATGGCTAAGCTGGAAATTGTGAGTTCTACTATCAGTGATAATAGTTCACTTATCTAGTGATTCTGCTTTTCCCAGACTCATTTTTGACCATGCCAGGTAACCAAGGGATTGCTGAAAAAGAGAAATGACTGTAACGAATACAGGCTTATGACATCCCAAAAGTGGTCAGACTCTTAACAGTTACAGAAATGGTCAGTTAACCATATGTAAACTTGGCTCCAAATGGATTATTAATACTACATTGTTTTTAAACTTTTATCAAATAAATAGATCATCAACACCTAAAAGTATTGTTTAACATATTTGGTATCTTTTTCTAGACTACTGGACTTGGAGGATCAGCAGTTGCAGGTCATGCCTCAGACCAGATTGAAAACATGGTGCCTGTTAAGGATCGAATCCTTAAAATTAGCTTTAATGCAGATGTGCATGCAAGTCTCCAGTGGAACTTTAGACCTCAGCAAACAGAAATATATGTAAGTGACTACTAACCAGCCATTAAAAGATTACTTTATTAATGTAAATTCCTTTCTTTCATCACTTAAACTGTCAGAGAACTACTTTTAACAATGTGATTCTAATAAAACATGACATTTTTTCTTGTTCCAAACTGACTTTTACTGTCATGTAACTTTAAAGTATAAGTTCTGTTTACATTAGGTGTAAGGCACTGTCAAAAAGTAGTCTATGGGAATAAAAAAATTTATAGTAATGGAACCCGTCAGTATTTTGAAATTAAGTTTAGATGAGTGAAACAGTTGGGAATAGCAGTAACTGTCAGGCTATATAGCTTCCTGACTTTTCCTCAGGCATAGAAGCATGGGAAAAATGTGGAAAAGCATTGGTGACAATAATTAGTTTACTGGTTTATATCAAAAGTATCCCTGTCCTTCTAAAAGAAAAAAAAAATTGAGGGCCTTTGAAGTAATCAATAAGTAGTAAATAGTTATGTTATACTCCAGTGAGACTGAGACTATATCTAAAAGCTTTCCTAAAATTTTAACCAACTGTAAGAAAGATTTTAACTGATATCTCATTAATTGAGGATTAGCCAGAGTTAATTTCAACCCATATTGGAAAAGCCTTATAAATATTATTGCTTGCCCAGTTTAGTAAACATGACTGAATCCCTTAATAATTAAAGGTTTTATAGGTTATGATTATGAATCTTATCCAGTTACATGGTAGTATACAAGGTATTAGTGGCTGAATTGGTACAAGTGACAGAATATCCTTTGGAAAAATTTTTTAAGCCTTGCTATTTTCTTATTTTCTCCAAACAAAGTATTAACACTCTGTGGCATAATAAAGGTTCTAGTCAGTCAGTTTTATTCTGGTTTTAAGGTAAGTTTAATGTTGGTATCTTTAAAAAAAAATTTAAAAAGTCAATCATGACATTCAGGTATAAGTGTTACAGAAAAGTTGGGCTAGGGCTGTTATATGATTGGCTTGGACATATTTTAAATAATGTAATTTGCAGATTATTCCTTGAAGACCTCAAATATACAAGAGGACAATTCATAACTAATTGTGGATATTAGAACATTGGTTCTTCATTGACATATGCAAGTAAGTTTTTAAAGTCATATGTTTATGGGTAATACTCAATTTATTTTGCTGAACCCTGCATTAGATTAGGTATTATGGTCTGATGAATAGGCAAAATAATGAGACTAATTTAGCAGGGAAAAGAGGAACTTTGTGAGATTCAAAGTATTGATTTTATTTTTATATATATATATATATTCTTCAAAACAGGTGGTGCCAGGAGAGACTGCACTGGCGTTTTACAGAGCTAAGAATCCTACTGACAAACCAGTAATTGGAATTTCTACATACAATGTTGTTCCATTTGAAGCTGGACAGTATTTCAATAAAATACAGGTAAAACAAAGTGTAAACTTTACGGAATATGATAAAGGTACATAAACTATTTAGTATGAAACTTAGTGTTTTTAGTAGATCTTGTGATTTCTGAAAACTAATTTCTTCTAAATATCAAACTGTTTTTCTTCACTATCTATACCTGCTATGCAGATATTGAGAACCAAACCAAATGAATATCTGCTTTTAAGATTAGAATTTGTTCTTGATCCTTAAAGCAGAATTCATTGAGATGAAAAGATGCTCTTATCACAGAACTGTGTATTTAACCATATGCTTATTAAAATCAAGAAGTGTACTAGAATGCTAAAAGAACTGTATAGTTTGTTATGCAATATGAGAATAGAAATGTTATTAAAGTCTTTCTATAATTTCCAGTGCTTCTGTTTTGAAGAACAAAGGCTTAATCCCCAAGAGGAAGTAGACATGCCAGTGTTTTTCTACATTGATCCTGAATTTGCTGAAGATCCAAGAATGATTAATGTTGATCTTATCACTCTTTCTTACACTTTTTTTGAAGCAAAGGAAGGGCACACGTTGCCAGTTCCAGGATATAATTGAAGTCAGCAACTAAGTCTTCCTTCAAAGTTGATTTTTGGGAAAATCATGTATCCTGTCTTCTCAAAGGAGAAATACTGTACAATAATATGAAGTCTTATATTTTAAATAATTTTTCTCAACTAATTTATTTCACTTAAAATTGAGAGAACAAGTTCAGCTTTTGTCATAAGAAACCCACATACCTAGCTAGAATATATGATTGACTATTCAATACCATACTGAAGAGTTTGATAGTATTAAAATAAGCCATTTTGTTTTTTAAATATGCAGGCATGGGTTCATCTTAATTCTATAATTCCCTTCCAGATTATTAACTCTTCATACTTACAGCAATGAATCTGACAATGTTTTTCAAAAGTGTATGATCCGGGTTATTTGTTTCAAGTCATAGGCCAGAACTTCTGACCATGTTTATTATATCTAAAAGAGTTGGTTGCTGTTTTCCTTATGAACAGTCAGTATTTTAAAAGCTCAAAGTAGAAGAGGAGTCACTAAGTCCAACAGCTTGTCCAAAGATTTAAATTCTTATTTCAAATTTGATTTGTGCTTTAAGATTTAGGGCTATTTTATATTCAGAGTTCTGAATAGATGATTACTTTGAAATTGTAGTATCATGAAATTGAAATAAAATACATCTAGGCTACTAGCCAAAGTGTCATCATTACAAGCCCATGAATGTTAAAATGTACAGGTGGGATTGTGAAGATTTACTGACATCAAAAGTTCTTCTGGAAAAAAACCTTTGTAAAAAAAAAAAACATATTAAATTATTTTAATAGTGATTTATTTGTCATCAAATGTACAACTTATTCTAAATATTTTCATTTTCTGTGTTCCAAATAGAAATGTTAAGTTGCAGTAAAAAGAGAAAAAAAGACTATTTAGCATTACAAAGAATCATATTTCAAGGCCGCCCAATGTAGAGTCCAGTGACCTGTTCAGGACACCTGAAATACAATTAAATGACAATCATCAAGGTTTTAACAATTTACAGTTCTAAACCAGAGTATTATAAAGAAGTGCAAATTGACTTTTACATTCAACTTTAGTTAAATGAAGGCACTCAGTATTCTTCCTGAATAATACATTCAATTTCTCACATTTTATGCTTTCATCTATTCAGAATTATTTTGTAGTAAAATAATCTACTCTTACCACACCTGTGTGACGATTTCTAAATGTAGGAGGGCCTGTGAAATATATGACACTGCAGTTAAATTGGTTGGCCTAAGGACTAAGTAATTTTTCTGCTGCTGAAGTTTTAAGTGAGTATTTGTTCCCAAGAAGTTCTGTTGAAATCTCACGCTGTTGTCAGGAATCAGTGTTATCCTGGAACTGTTATTCTTCTATTTAATCTTCATCATAGCAGAAATGTTCCAGCGTGGCTTTGACATGGTGGCAGGTATTGTCTTCCAGGCTTCAAAGCTGCACAGTCTACCCTTTAGAGAGTTGGCACCTTTGATGTGGCTAGTGAGCTGATCATCCACTTTCTTCTAAAATAAAGAGAAGAAAATAGCCAGTATTCATCCTGTCCTCTTTCCCCATTCCTTGATAACTCTCTTGTCTTTACTGGGAGGCTGGAGAGCCACAGTCTAGTAGAAGAAAGGTAAGAATGTGCTTCTTCCATAGGGGAGGGTATAAGGGGAATAAATAAGTTTAATAGTTCATTGGTGATCATTAAATAGTAAATACATGGGATTAGTAGTGCTGAAAATAGGAAAAACTCAGACCTATTTGGAGTACTAACAGTAAATGGGCCTGCTGGTACCGGTTAACAAGTATTAACTGCACATAAAAGACAAATGCCTGATTTCAGTGCTACTCCTATTGCTCATCTATTTTGTTAGCATTAATATTTCTATACCATAAACTACTATATTTCCAAGTCTTATTTACAGATGAGAAAATCACAAAGAATGAATCTCATTAGTGAACAATGGTTCAGCACAATTGGAATGATTCAGGGGAACTCATATTTCAAAGTGACAGACTCAGATGGCTCTTACAAAATATAAATACTAAATATGTAAAGTGATAATTATACTGAAATTATATGGAATTAAGTTGTATAAGTTGAAGTCTTTACCTCAGTCACCATGATTTTCAGTTCCTTTGTGCTGGTGAGCATCAATTTCTTCATAAATAGCTCTGAAACAAGGCCATCACAGCAAAAGGGTTATATATCAATTTCAAAGTGCTATTTTCGTTTTTAACTGCCAGCACCGTAATTAAAAATTGAGCTGTTTTTGGAGTTCCTGCTATATATGAGTTAAAAATAAGTTTCTGCCCTGAAGTGTAAGTGTATATTCTAGTTTTCTTAAATTCTAATGTTGCACTTCCTTTTTTTTTTTTTTTGGAGACAGAGTCTCACTCTTTTGTCCAGGCCGGAGTGCAGTGGTGCTTTCTTGGCTCACTGCAACATCTGCTTCCTGGGTTCAAGTGATACTCCTGCCTCAGCCTCCTAAGTAGCTGGGATTACAGGGACATGCCACCATGCCCAGCTAATTGTTTTGTATTTTAAGTAGAGACAGGGTTTCACCATGTTGGCCAGGCTAGTCTCAAACTCCTGACCTCAGGTGATCTGCCTGCCTCTGCCTCATAAAATGCTGGGATTACAGGTGTGAGCCACCAAACCCGCCCTTAATGTTGCAATTCCTATGCCTCTTAAAAGTATGTATTTTATAGAACCAATTAATTTTTTATTGTGATTTAAATGAGAAATATGGCTCAAATTTGAACAGTTTATGTTTTGCTTAAAAAAGTCTTCAGTTCTTCTGGTTTCAAACATTTTTTAAAAATATTAGGACAAGTGTAGTGGCTCACACCTATAATCCCAGCATTCTGGGAAGCTGAGGTAGGTGGATTGCTTGAGTCCAGTATTTCAAGACCAGTCTGAACAACATGGCAAAATACCATCTCTACAAAAAATATAAAAATTGCCAGGTGTGGTGGTACCGGCCTGTTGTCCTAGGTACTCAGGAAGCTGAGGTGGGAGGATCACTTGAGCCTAGGAAGCGGAGACTGCAGTGAGCTGAGATCCTGCCACCGCACTCCAGCCTGGGCTACAGAGCAAGACTCTTGTCTTAAAAAAAAAATTAATCTTCCAGCTTATTTAACCTATGTGATAGTCCAGTCCAGACTCCTCAGCCACCTATAGCTCATCACTGCCATTTCTGTACATTTTTTATGTTGTTTAATGACATCCTTCATTCGTTTTTTTCTTTTTTTTTTTTTTTGAGACAGGGTTTCACTCTATCACTCATGCTGGAGTGCAGTGGTGCAGTCATGACTTATTGCAGCTTCAACCTCCCAGGTTCAAGTGATCCTCCCATTTCAGCCTCTCAAAATGTTGGGATTAGAGGTATAAGCCACCATGCCAGGCCCATTCAGTTCTTTATATGTATCTTACATATGTCTGTAAAATATCTATAACTGAAAGCACAACATTCATATATACAGTATAGCAAAACATGGCTGAGGAAAAATCTCAAAAATCACAGCACTGTGAAACCATGATCACCAAGTTCATAAGGCCCCAGAATGGTCCTACAATTTTAATCTTTGCCTAAAAAGTTTGGTCTCATCTCCCTCAAAACGATTTCAGTCTTCTTCACTCTCCTCAAACCTCTGACCTCTCTGGTAGAAACCTCATTCTTAATACATTAAATGTCTTGATATGGAAACTTTCTCATTTTCCCATCACTAAATCTTCAAGTTTATCTTCATCTGTATTGTCCGTTATTTCTGTGATCCTATCTATTCCTGGCTTCTGAAGCACTTCACCCAGTTATTCTCCCCTTCCTGAGTCTTCAGCCTCTCCTATGCCAGATCCTATTCTTTGACATTCACAGATTCTCCAGCATCTTCCATATCTCCCATTTTATACAAAGTACAGTCTTTAATTCCATCTGTACTTGTAGTAAATGCCTTGGTATCCTCTAGCTACCAAACTCCCCCCACCCTGCCTTTTTTTTTTTTTTTTTTTGAGGTTGAGGTTCACTCTTGTTGCCCACGCTAGAGTGCAATAGTGTGATCTCAGCTCACTGCAACCTCTACCTCCTGGGGTCAAACAATTCTCCTACCTCCTTCTCCTGAGTAGCTGGAATTACAGGCACCCGCCACCATGCCTGGCTAATTTTTGTGTTTTTAGTAGAGACAGGGTTTTGCCATGTTGGCCAGGCTGGTCTCGAACTCCTGACCTCAGGCGATCTGCCCACCTTGGCCTCCCAACGTGCTGGGATTATAGGCATAAGCCACCGTGCCCGGCCCAAAACCCATTTTCATCACTGCTTCTCATTTAAGTTCTAAGAAGTTATCTGCACTTACTGTCTCTACTTAATCTCTTATGTGCTTTTCAACTGAAATTTGGGTTCTGTATCCATCAGTCCATCAAAGTAGCTTTACTAAAATCATCAAGTGATCTCTAATCCATTATCTAGTTTTCAGTTCTCATCTTACTTGTCTGCCCCTAGCACTGTTCTTCACAGTTGTACTCACTTCTCTTTGCTTCCAAATTACAGTTTTCTCATCTGGTACTGAGCTCCCTGTTAACTTTCTTTACTCTTGGCTTTAGCATTTCCATTTCCTTGAATGTGCCAGAACTCTGTCCTCTGGGTCTTTGTACAGGTTGTTCCTTGAGCCTACAATATTCATTTCCAAACTTTTAACTAAGAATTGCGGGCCTCAGCTTTTAATGCTACCTGAAGCTTTCTCTAACCCCCATTTAAATTAGTTCTGTTATACACTTTCAAGTTGCCATATTCTTTCATAACAACACAAATTGTAAACCTGTATTTGGTGATTTGTCTAATTTCTGTATCCATGCTACATTTAATCTCTGTGAGGATAAGGGAGCATGTTTCTTGCTCAAAATTATAAATTAGTCCAGTCATAGTCCCTGGCACATAATATTGAAATAAATGAATCGTGTATATCTTCATAAACATACTGTTTGTCCTGGTAGAGCAAAAATTGTCAACCTGGGGTTCATGGACAACCAGTGATGTGAAAAAACCCAGTAATTTCCTGCAAGATTCTGTGTTTTTCCTTGGAGAGAAGTCCCTGAATTTCATGGGACTTTCAAAAGAACTGAGACATTCTGACCCCCAGAAAGACCCATCACAGGGATAAAGAGTTCCAAAGCTTCACCTCTCCAGCTTTTTACTGTCTCTCCCACCTCCAGTCTCTGTGACACTGCCATATCTACATAGAGCAATCTCCTAATTTGAATAGAATCAAGAAATTTTCCACTACCTATTTGGATGGAGAAAAAACAAGTTTCTAGAAAGCATACCTAGTTTAGTGCTAGTTTCTTAAACCACTAATATGATCAGTGATAGATCTACTCTATCAGGCAGAATGACTTAGAGAAATTTCTCAGACCTGAGTTAGGAAAAAATACATAGTGGACTCCTAAGTCCCTTAACATCTGCTCATAAATTAAGTCAACCATTACACTGAGGGATTAAACCAGGGACCATAATATCAAATGTCTACACATGTCAGCCAAAGAAGAGATGCAGAGGGTTGGGTGGGACTGTAAGCAGATAGGAAGGGTCTCCAGGGACTATAGGAATACAATCAACTTGATTAATCACCTTTTTTCCCCAAACCCTGTGTGGAATGCAGCCAGCTAGCTGGTTTAAACCAGCTCATGACAGACCTCAGATGGATCCTAGTGTACTTGCTTCATTACCATAACATGTGACCTGTGTGCTGAAATAACTCACTGCATCTGTACAACTGCAGCCCCTCTCCATATAATAACATACCCTCTTCCCTATCACCCCATAAAACCCTCCTGTCACTTTCCTGCTTTGGAGACGATGCCCAGTGGTTTATTTGTGACAAGTAATAAAACTCCTATTGCTCAAAGCCTACATTCTTGGTTGGTTATAGTGGCTCATGCCTGTAATCCCAGCACTTTGGAAGGCTGAGACAGGAGGATTGCTTGAGCCCAGGAGTTCAAAACTAGCCTGGTCTACATAGACCCCCTTCTCTATTAAAAAAAGAAAAAATTAAAAGGCTGGGCATGATAGCTTACACCTATAATCCCAGCACTTTTTGGGAGGCTCAGGCTCAAGTTCAAGGTAAATGAACTTGAGACTAAGAGTTCGAGACCAGCCTGGGCAACATGGCAAAACCCTGTCTCTACTGAAAAATACAAAAAATTAGCCAGGCGTGGTGGTACGTGTCTGTGGTCCCAGCTACTCAGGAGGCTGAGGCATGAGAATTGCTTGAGCCTGGGAGGCGGAAGTTGCAGTGAGCCGAGATCACCCCACTGTACTCCAGCCTGATAGAGTGACACTCTGTCTCAAAAAAATAAATTAGCCAGGCATGGTGGCGTGCCCCAATAGTCTCAGCTACCCAGGAGGCTGAGTAGGGAGGGCTACTTCAGCCTCGTAAGTCAAGGCTGCAGTAAGCCATGATCATGCCGCTTTATTCTAATTGGAGTGACACAGCGAGACCCTGTCAAGAAAAAAAAAAAAAGAATAACCTGTGTTCTCATGGAGGGTTGTCTGTTACTCACCAGATGAATGAATCTCAGGTTTTTTTAGGGGTAACAAGTCCGGCACCCCAGATGGGACCCAGGCCCTGACTTGACTTCCCATATAGGCTCCTGGCAGGCAAAGCAGTGGGCTGTGGAAGCCTGCCTGGGCCAACTCATCTTGGTTGCCAAGAGGGAGACTAGAGAAAGGCCTTGGGACCCCCGAACTGGTGTCTAGTGTAGTCCACTAACCAGCACCACAAGATCTCTCTGGGAGAGTAGAAGTGGCTGCCTAGAGTCCAGACCTTTTGCTCGGTGTTCCTTCGAAGCAGCAGCTCCATTAACTACTAAAAGAGTGGTCTGGGTTTTGATCATTAGGATTCTGGGTTGTCAGGATTAGGACCTAGGTCAAGGGATCCAGGATTGAGAAAAAGAACTTCCTTCTTTCAGGTGTGGGAGACTGAGAGACATCGCCGTCGTTTTAACAAGGGGAATCCCCAACATAAAGACAAGGATGCTTGTCTTCAGGAGTTGATCCCTATCTAGTATGACGGTAGGGCTCGATATTCTTCTTGTCTGTGGCCTGAAGGAATATGAAGTCTGGATTCCTCTACCCTTAGTGTGTGGCAACCCCTAAAATATCAGGCTTTGTTTTGCAGCA